GGTTTCGCGGGTAACTGCTAGTCGTATATTATATTACTAACCGATCATTTCATCTCTTGTATTGATGACAACCGCCATATTATTGAAGAAACGTAGCGATGTAGACCGGAACATGTGGAAGTATCCCGGCTCACCGTTATACTTGTAACTTATACGAATACAAACAACCGGCTCTGTGTTGCTTTTGCGTCCAACACCGAATATCTATAAGTAAAATCGACTGACTGATAAGAGTAATGTTGTTTTTTGAATTATTTTTTATAATATAAGGTGAATGACTGCAGACACCTAGAAGTCAGAAGTCTATACGTCCCCAACGAGGTGCTCGGGGCCTACCCTAAGTTAAGGGTGATTAGGCCATAGTCAACCACGCTGGCCAAGTGCGGGTTGGTTGACTTTTTTTTTTTTAAATATTAGCAGATTTTTATGGAAATTTACTAATATTTATTTTTACCATTCCAACTAAGCTTTAGGCCTGTGCTAGGACATGGTTTACGAGAATAGTCGAATGGCGGGATTCGAAACCCCGACCTCGTGATCGGAAATCCATACCCTTAACCATTAGGCTATTGACTCTTTGAATTTCTTCTCAGATATGTGCAGCATCGCGATGTTTTCCTTCACCGTAAGAACGTCGGATAAATGTACATATGAAAATCGGAAAACTGAAAAACACATTGTTACATGGCGGGATTCGAACCCAGGACCTGCAGATTGCAAGTCAAGTGCTTGACTCCTGAGCCACTGACGCTCTCAGATATTCGTGCTAAGCCCTAATGTCAAGTTAGCTTTAAGAAATAACGTTTACGTCATTCTAATCATAAAAAATAGTCAAGTCATAAGACATACATACACACGCAATTAGTCAATACAATGAAAGTAATCGTGACGTCACAGAAGTACAGAACGCAAGTATCAAGCGAATATGATCTCTATTACCGTAGGATTAGTGTCGAGAGTGCCGAGCTCGAGCAGCGTGACGTCAGCGAGCGGCACGCGCTGCACTGACAACAAGCGGTCAGACGTCTCGTCATAATCCGTCACGTAGTACGCATCGCTTGTTAACACCATCACGCTATCCATCTCTGTCTCGTGCGGGTCGCCGGTACTAAGAGAGAAAGAGACGGAAGATGATGCATGCATTCCTAACATTTATAGTCGAAGCTATATTTGTAGGGTGACCAAGATTTAAATCGTTATTCTAGGATACAAGTGTAAGGTGTCCAAAATAATCTGTGTTTAAGGATAGAAGTGTAGGGTGTCCATAATTTCAGTCTATATTTTAGGACACCTTTAGATTGTCCATAATTGCAATCAGTGTAGTAGAAATATAAAGTAGCCATCATTTTAGTTAAATCACGGACACGACATAATATGTCCACAAAATTATTTGCTTCATTTTTACACAGGATATTATCAGGATTATTATATTTTACTTACTGTGGGTCAGCATCTATAAGACCCCAGGAGCCTAGCACTGGTTCCGTATCCACCAACAGTTTCTTGCAATCGTCGATAAGGGACTTCACGTGCTGCGCCATCGCCGCTGTGTCCGGTTCTGTTTGTTCCTTTATATAATACACGAGAATGAAAATTTATTTTATATAGTACATAAGACATAAATTTATTAAAATCAAACTGCCAATGATTTATGATTTAAAAAAATAATTAATGCTTCAAAATTAAAAAAAAAAACAATACATAAAAAGCAAACTCAAAAAATCTTTACATAATATAAAGCGAACTAAAAAACATTGCTTTAACTTTGATCTACAATGTTTCTAGCACAGAATCACCACGCTATTACCATTATGGTATAAGACATGCCCCAAAAAATGAGTGTGTGTCCTAAGTTTGGTCCTCTCCACACTTTTTCTTGTAAAAAAAAGGATGGGAAGTGGATTTTTCTGACGAGAGGATGCATGGGAAGGAAAAATATTATCTTTCTGTGCATCCCCTCCTCCATAGTTTAAAGGTAGACAATGCATATGCTTGCGTATGTCTATGGGCAAAGGTCGCTTCTCTATATCAGCGATTTGAAGTGACAAACATCTTATGATATAAAAAAAATCTCTATGACCATGGATTTAAACAAGCCCCACAAAAGGTTAAGACCAGGGGGTACCTGTTAGCAAAACAAAATAAACCATGCACCCACATTAAGCATAAGAACCTTGACATTGGTGCAGCGACTGCATTCAGGCACGATCAGCTGCTCCGGTATGCTGCGAGACTCTCCTGTCATCACGTCGATAGCCACCTGCCGGAGAGCGTCCTTGAACGTCGACAAGTAGTACCTGCAACAATAATACTACGGCTGTCAAAGGGTTAACGTCAAATAGTATGGAATTAAACATTTCAATGGCTGTAGGGAAAAAATGTCTAACTAGATGTCGAAAAAAATCCAAAGTTACTATCATTACGCGCACGTTACGTTTGGATGGATGGATCTTTGTTACAAAGTATCTCTACGACTCAAAGGATCTTGATGAAATTTAACATAACAAAACATAGTCTGGAAGAACACATAACACTATATAAGTGTTTTTTTTTTAATCTGTGTGGACGCAGTCGCGGGCGACAGCTATATACTAGTAGTCAAAAACCTTTTAAGTTACCTTTAAAGTCAGACTCGAGAGTTTATTTGGACTTAAAAATTATTCAACAGTTAAAACTATTATAGTTAAATTAACATGACAGGAAAAAAGACAAAAATTAACAGGAAAATTATAAATCTGTGCTCTTCGTGAATTAGATATAATTATATTGTGGTTATTGTTTATTGAAAAAGTTAAAATCCAATTTGTGCATTTATATAAAAATCTTTTTTATTTAAAAAAAACTCGTTAAAAAAATTTTGTGCAATTCCATATTTTTTTTTATCCTATAACTGTGTAAAATAAATGTGGCCTTAAAACGTTAATGCTATACTAATATTATAAAGAGGAAAGATTTTTTTGTTTTGATTAGGCTCCGAAACTATTGAACTTATTTGAAAAATTCTTACACTGTTGGGAAGCTACACTATCCCCGGATGATATAGTCTAGATTTATTACTAGGTAAACTTTAATATAGATTAAAAAATTTCAAAATGATAAAAGAACCTGACAGTAGTTTACAGACATTATTTTTTTTTTTTTCTCTGGTGGCTAATTTTTAGCCACCTTCTCTTGTAACCCTGACGCTTGGTCAGGGACCTTTTTTTACTTTGTGTTCTTTATTTTCATACATGTTATAAATTTTTTACATTGTTTTACATATTGACTCAGAAAACTTCTTACGTAAAATGGTCATAAAAATGTTTTTATTATATTTTAATAGCTACGTACAATTTTAAGCAGGGGTCATATTAAATTGGTTATTGCGAAAGCTGTAGGCGTTCTATAATATAATAATTCCATTATTATTAACAAACCTAAGGCATCACTACAAAAACTTTGAAGATATAATTTACTATTTTTGATTTAAAGCGTAGTATATGATATTGGCGTCTTACTATCAATTTAACTCAAGCCAATTAACTAAAATTACTAAACACTCTATATTATGACAAAACAGTATAAGCACTGATTAAAGCTTTTTCATTTAATTCAACACTATTACGAAAACGATGTTATCTTTGCAATTTGCCTCATTCAAAGTAAAATGAATCTTATTAATAAGTAAGTAAGGTTCTATATTGAGCAAAAAAGAAGTGATTAGTGAAATTTTTTCAAATAAATGTGGATTACATTTGCCGTGGTATTTGAATACATATTGTTATCTCTCTCATTCTCTTTGAATAAAAAGAGACAACAATATGTGTCTACAATAGTAAAGTTTATTCGCTACACGCTAGGGAAGCGAAGTGAAGCATCCAGTATAAACTGACCTCCCCACACCGTATGTAACCTGAGCGGATGCGAGCTCACTTCTCATTGGATGACCGAAATATGAAGGCATCATACCGAATTTCGGTTTACTCGGTTCCAAATTCTCTAGTACCATCATTGAAGCTGTTTTAACATCGTGCCAGAGATCTAGCTCGTCTATGGTCGACTCATCGATCGGCTGCCCGAGAGCGATGTCTATGGCGCATTGTGTCATGGCGTCATTAAAATGCCGGATGAGGAATCTGGCGGGAAACGGTAGCCATTTTGTTTTTTAATAAGAATTTATTTATTGGCTTTTTTTAGGTTTAGATTTAAGAAATAAGGAGTGTTACCTGTTAGCTGATGCGACGCCATCTTTCATCATTCCAGTGAATTTTCTTTCGCCCGTGCGAGTATAATCACCCTGTATAAAAAATAACATGTTAAAACATATCTTTTTTGTTGACTTCAAAGATACTGAAGATGTAAAGAAAGGAAAAGATCTGAAAAGAGAAGGAGATTGCAAATATTATAAATGCGAATGTTTGGATGGATGGATGTTTGTTAGAAGGTATCTCCTGCTGCTGCACGGATCTTGCTAAAATTTGGCATACAAATAGAACACAGTCTGAAAGAAGACATAGGCTACTTATTAAGTTTTTTCTCAGTTCATTCAGACAGAGTCGCGGGCGTCAGCTAATCCTCTATAAGGATTGAAGGCAGATTACCTTGAGTGCTTTAGTGCCGGCATACTGTCGCGAGACGACGTCGCCATTGTCCGCCCACATTGTGAGGAAGGCGTGTCGCAGCGGCGCCGGCAGCCCGCACCCCGGCGTGCCTAACCCCAGCCTGCACAGCTGCAGCTCCAGCACGTACTTAGCTATCGCTGTCTGTACACAGTTTTTTTTTCACTTATAAAATCAAGAAATACACGAATACACTATGATACTATACAGGGTGTCCCAAAAGGTTACGTACATAGGAAGGGGGATGATATGGGTGGTCACAAGGGTCACCAGAAAAATAAAATTAAAATTCCCCTCTGGGTATTAAAAAAAATAAATGGAATTTTTTATAAACTTAAAAAAAAAGCTATTATGTTATCGTCAATAACCCTTTATCAATATGAAATAAAAAAACAATACAACTAACAATGATTTTAAAGAAAATTAAAATTGCCCCAGAAGGTGTAAAATTTTTAAGTTTTTAAAAAATGCCATTTTTTTTATAACTTTTAAATTCAAACACCGACAAATTCCCTGACTGTACTTACCTGTACCACATTAGTCCTGTCGAGACAATCGATGCAGTTAACCCTGAAGACGCCGTCCTGAGTGCAGATGAGGCCGCGGTCGTCGCGCCAACAGAACCTCATCTCGCCTATTATATCCGCAATTGCATTGATGAGAATACTTACATTCTCGTAATGCATGCCGCGACTGGAATTCAAACGTAATAAGCTTAAGACGTAAACATTAATGTATGGTTAACTGGCTGTCGCCCGCGACTCCGTCAGTACGGAAGTAAAAATAAAATTTATTAATAGCCTACGTATCCTTCCAGACTATGTTCTACATCTCTAACAAATTTCAGTAAGATTCTCGCAGCCGATTCGGAGATAGCCACCTTCTAACAAACATCCATCCATTCAAACATTCGCATTTATAATATTTTAAGCAAGAAGTAAGCTAGTAAGATTTAAAAAACGTAATATGTTTTTTTTTAAATAAAATACAATAAAATTATATATTTTTTGTTTTTAAAAACAAAAACCAATTTTTAAAATATCGTGCAAATACGATAACTTGTCATGGCGTCTTCAGTGACGTCACACTGTGACGTAGAACAGCAATATTGTGGTACTAAATTCTGAACTATGAAAATAACAATGGCGCCGTCCCCAGCGTGACGACACAAATTCTGATTGGCGTTCCGTTACGCTACTTAATGTCTAAAACTATTGATCTTAATAAATTTAAATAATTATTGTTGTTTTCGTCATATCTATAAGACAGGTAATAATTAAAAACGAAATCCCGAAACGTTCACCGAATACAAAAATAAGAATACTGTTGGTACTACTGATTGTTGTAGTAAGTCCCCTCACTAATCATTCTGACAGTTGACTTTGTAACGAAAGCCATTCGCGCCAAAAGATTCTAGCTAGATCTTATACATAAAATTGTCGTGTCACAATTTTCGTTCCCATACTCCTCCGAAACGGCTTGACCGATTCTCATGAAATTTTGTGAGCATATTGATTAGGTCTGAGAATCGGCCAACATCTATTTTTCATCCCCCTAAATGTTAAGGTTAGTCCACCCCTACATTTTTTTTTAGACAAACACGCGGACGGAACCGCGGTCGACAGCTAATATCTAAAAATATATAAAATAAGACTAATACTTACCAGTATTCATGGAAATCAAATGTGGCGTATATAACATCAGGGCTGTTGAACTTGAGGACATGATTGCCGTACGCCTCCCAGATAACACGTTCTCTTCCCTGCTGCTCCACCAGATTCACGATGCACACTTGTTTATAAATCTTCAATTCTTCTTCGAAATGCTTCTTAAATGCTGTATGCGTTTCTTCCTCACCTATGTTACCGAACGATTTTAAATTCAGACTTTTTTGAAAATTTCAACATTTTAACACGATCTTTTACCCAAATAACTAACATATTATGTTTATACACGATTTATATGATATTAAGGTCATAAATATTAATCTAATAATAACCAAGTCATCAAAATTGGTTTAGCAATTTGCTAAACGGTTAAAATGAAATTTATATACAAACATATATCAAAATTTACATACACATGAAAAACATTACCCTACTAGCCGCTGGTTTCTTAAACCATAATCTCTGTAAACAATATAGTCATCCCTGTCATTATCTTTGACAAAACAGAGATATCAATATGTTTTAAAAGCGTATTTTACATAATAAATTAAAGGTTTTTATCAAATTACCTCTATCAAGTCGTGGTGGTGGTCGAAACTTATATTCCGGTTGACTCCAAAATATTGGTACAGATCCACGTACCTGGTATAAAAAATATAAAAATTACTTTCTATTCTGTTTATTGTGTACTAGCTATCGCCGCGACTACGTCTGTGCAGATTTAAAAAAAAAACTTAAGTAATAGCCTATTTATTCTTCCAGACTATGTTCTAAATCTATGCTAATTTCAGCGAAATCCATGCAACCGTTCTGGAGATACATTCCAACATACATCCATCCAAATCCATAGATGAATATCTAACCATACATCGAAACATCTTACTAATATTATAAAGGCGTTTGTTATATATCTCCAGAACGACTGCATGAATCTCGCTGAAATTTGGCATACATAGATTCTCGGACGACAACTAATATACAACCAACCCGATAACTTATTCATAATGTCCTATTTCCAGTTTCTACCTAAACATTCTGTTCTGTTTCTTGTTTATGGCTCTCCCTCATCTGATTGGGCCAATGTCAAGTGTTTATGTACCTAAACATTATTTGCCGGCGACTGTCTGTCTGCTTGGAAATCGATACATTGTCGAGTCATAGCTAACATTGAATCCTATCCAAATTACTTAATCTATCAACTATACTACAAAATAACTTTTCTTATATTACGAAGATTAATAATACCAAATATATGTAAAACTAGTCGTCGCCCTCGACTTCATTCGCGTGAAATAAAAAATAAACTGAGTTATGTAGAGTAGCCTATGTTATATTTCAAACTGTAGTCTACGTGTTTGTCGATTTTCATCAAACATCCATCCATACATATGTATTTGTAATATTAGTATGAAACATGATAGTATTACTTATATAAATATTATATAACTATATCTCTCATTAATATTTTAAATAAGTGCAAATATATTTCTGTCCTTAAATACATTTTAATTTTTTTTAAACATAACACAATACTAAAATAGGAAATTCGAACTAAAACTCATATTTGCCTTGTGTTCTTTAAAAAATTGTGGTCTTAGTACGTCCGTTAGTAGTACGTTAATCTTACTAATATTATAAATGCGAATCTTTAGATGGATGGATGTTTGTTTGAAGTTATCTCCAGAACGGCTGTATGGACGTTACTGAAACTTGGCATAAGAGCACATAGGCTACTAATTAATTTTTTTCTTAATTCCTTGTGGATGGAGTCGCGGGCGACAGCTAGTTTTACCATAATATTTATAAAAT